ATGCAGAGAAAGCTGTCTGTGGCCTTGGCCTTTGTTGGGGGGTCCAAGGTTGTCATTCTGGATGAGCCCACAGCTGGTGTGGATCCCTACTCCCGCAGGGGAATATGGGAGCTGCTGCTGAAATACCGACAAGGTAACCAGTGTGTACTCTGAGTCACGGATTTGGGGAGAGAAGTGTTCTTGAGAAGTCTGGCTGTATCTCATGGCTGCTCTTGCGGGGGTTACAGAATTGCTTCTCAAGGAAAAAAAATGGAACTTTTCTTAAAGCTCAGTGTCTGCCTTTAGTAGGGATATGGAAGACCTGGTTGTAAGATACTTGAAGCTTATGCTTCATTACCTAGGGGCCTGCAAGAACAGAAATGGTATAGACTTACACAGGTGTATCGTGATTATACTACGCTAAGATAGATTCCTGAGAGCAGAGGCTCTGTTCATTGTTTTGTCTCTAACTTGTTACACTAATTTTGTTTGTTCAAAGAGTGGATGAATAAATGAATGGAATGGGAAAGGACAAGAACGTGTTTGGCAGTGTGCTTAGAGCTTGTGCAGCCCTGATACTTTGGAAAAAAATCACTTAGGTTGGCCCCATTTCCTTATCTGTAATAAGAGTGGTACTTACCTCATGAAGGGTAAAATTAATTAAAGAATATACATAAACCACCTAATATGCTTTCTGACACCTTGCAAGTTCCAAATAAATGCGTTGCCAGCCTCGGGGTCATGACCAGAAGGTTGAAGTCAGCTTTCAGTCTTTCTTGCCTACACCCCTGCCAATGTCTCTATAGTCCTTGCTACTACAATCAATGAGAAAAGACAGGACTCACGTGTCCCACATCCTTGTATTGTGTCTGGCAGGCCGCACCATTATTCTCTCCACACACCACATGGATGAAGCAGACATCCTGGGGGACAGGATTGCCATCATTTCCCATGGGAAGTTGTGCTGTGTGGGCTCCTCCCTGTTCTTGAAGAACCAGCTGGGAACAGGCTACTACCTGACACTGGTCAAGAAAGATGTGGAATCCTCCCTGAGTTCCTGCCGAAATAGCAGCAGCACTGTGTCATACCTGAAAAAGGTGAGCTGCAGTCTCAGTGCTGGGCTGGGCCGTCGGGACTTATTGGCTGCAGATGGCTTGTCCACCTCTGCCCCATTCACCCAAGTTGTGGCCACTGTCTCCCTGCTCTGTACCCTTTCACATCATACTGCCTATGTGGAAAGTTCTAGAGCCCTCTGTTCTCGTAGTGCTAGTTTTGTTGAGTCCCATTTTTCCTTTTTCCTATTCAATGAGCAATGGAGAATGTCCTTTCAGGACTTTATTGTGTTGCAGAAAAGAGACTAGCTAAGAGGTAAGAGATGGCTAAAAAATGTCCTGCTATTCCTGCTTATTATCTTTAAATCTCATTGAGTTTTTACTTTTGAACTATAAAACACAAATATTTATGAAGCACTTATTTCAGACCACACAGACTGGGTGTAAAAGAAAATAATAATAGTTATGTTTTGTCACAATTTTTTTTTCCTGTCATCTCAGAGTACAGAGCAATTCTAGGAAGACAATACATGATTTCTATCCCAGATGAGGGAAGTGAGACCTGTAGGGATTTGTTAGCTTATTTAAAGTCATCTAAAAAATAAAGAGCAGGTGGGACTAGAACCCTCAAACCAGACATGTTCTCTTTCATAGTACATGCCTGAGATTTATTCATGGATTGAAACCAGTGGCACCTGATACATCTTAATCCTAACCTTGAACTCTGTCCACTTACTTACCTTTTAACTAAAGCCTCCTTACTAAAGTGTGGTATGAGGACCAGCAGCATCAGGATTATCTGGGAACTTGTTAGAAATGCGGTAACTTGGGTCCAATTCAGACCTATTGAGTCAGAATCTGCATTTTAATGGGGTCCTGGAATGGTTGAACATATGTTAAAGCTTAGGTTGCATTGAATTAGACAAGTAGCCAGATAAATCCCATGCCTGCAATGATTGGCAAATCCTGGTTGCACCGTTCCTGCCAAGCCACAGTTCTGTTGGTAGCTCATAACTCTCCCCAGGAAGAGAGGCTGTCCACATGGCACACACATCACACGGTGGCCTCTAAAGCCCTGGCTTCCAGCTTCATGCACACCAGGAAAAGCGTTTGCTGCAGTTCTTACACAATAGAGCTTCTGGAAACCCTCGCTGGCAAAGGTGGTGATGGCTGTACCTTGCTTGGTCCCTGACCCATTCTCACCTCCTTCTTTGCCATCAGGAGGACAGTGTTTCTCAGAGCAGTTCTGATGCTGGCCTGGGCAGCGACCATGAAAGTGACACGCTGACCATCGGTAAGGACTCTGGGGTTTCTCATTCAGGTGGTGCCTGAGCTTCCCCCAGCTGGGCAGAGTGGAGGCAGAGGAGGAGAGGTGCAGAGGCTGGTGGCGCTGACTCAAGGTTTGCTGCTGGGCTGGGCTGGGCTGGGTGGCTGTGGGAATGGGTGCAGCTTGGTGGTGGTGGCCTAATGCTTGCTGGGGAGCCTGGGGCTTGGTCTGGGAGCTGGTAGGGCAGCGTCCCAGAGAACTGAGATGATTGGGGTTTGGGGAATCCCTTAGGGGAGTGGATCTGGCTGGACACCAGATGAGCCATTGAGTGTCAAGCCAGCAGGGAGGGATTTGAGCTTAGTATATAAGGAAGGTGAGAGCCTAGGAGATAAGAAACAGCCTTTTAGGCTTTTCTTGGCAGTGCATATGGGAGCCCAGTGTCGCCAGTAGCATGTGGAACAGAAATCATGACCTGGCCATCTCTGCTCAGTTCTAACAGCTGGCTTTTTCCAGGAAGACTTCTGCTTCTATGAACTGTTTGGTTAGCCTCTATTGAGGTAAATAGGGGGAAGCTCCCTTTGAAAGAAAGCTTAGGAAAGGCTGAAAAATCTCTATGATTTTCTTACTCAAGTTTTTTTACTTAAGAATCCCAGCGTGTAAGCTGTAGACACCAGATCTTCAACCTCAGCAAGTCATCCATCCATCCATAACCCATGGAGTACCCACAGTGTGCCTAGTTGTGGTGATATAAAGTGAATGAGATACAATTCTTGTCCCCTGGAATTCTTGGAGTTGAGCATGTGGAATGGCTAAAATATCTTGGACAGTGTGGTGTATAAGCAGCAGGCTTCTGAGGAGTAGGCAAAGAGGATGACTGGCCTTTGCTGTGGAGCCTCTGAAATGACTGAACCATCTTTAACTGTGGTCCTTGCAGATGTCTCAGCCATCTCCAACCTCATCAGGAAGCATGTGTCTGAAGCCCGGCTAGTGGAAGACATTGGGCATGAGTTGACCTACGTACTGCCATATGAAGCTGCTAAGGAGGGGGCATTTGTGGAACTCTTCCATGAGATCGATGACCGGCTCTCAGACCTGGGCATATCCAGTTATGGCATCTCAGAGACTACCTTGGAAGAAGTAAGTTGGGTGGCTGACTGTCAAGTATAGCAGCCCCAACCACCTCAAGGTCAGACAGGAAGGAAATAGGATCACCATGGGGTTGGTCATTGAGATTTTAGGTTATTGATATCTGGGTAATGTTGGCCGCAGTGGACCAATTAAGATTGTAGTCGGAGATAGCAGGCAGGAAAGAAGTACTAGGATTGCCCCTGGTGTGGTTGTGTTAACTGGACTTATGCATCATAAGAAATGACCGACATTTATAGTCTACTAGAGCCAGGTGCCGAGCTGTATGTTTTTGGTGTTTCTTTTTGATTTGCTTTTTTAAACCTTTGTAATCTTGTGTAATCCTCATGACAAGACAAGAAAATTAACTAATCAGGGATGTTGAGTTGGGATTCAGAATGGGAAGTTTGGGCTTCAAAACCCAGGTTGTTTTTATGAAGTAGTAATTCCTCCCTTTAGAGACACATCACAGAATTTGAGGGCTGGAAGGGCTATAAAAGTTGTCTGGCCTGGTGATTCCATGCTAGATTGTATAGTAGCCATGTGAGGATATCACTGACAATAAAAATTCCAAGTCTCAATTCTAGTGTCTTTGAATTAGGATTTCTGGAAGTAAGGCCTTAAATCTGTACTTCCACTGTATATGTTGTACACAGTGGTCTATAGACAAGAGTTTGGAAATCAGTGACCTCATTCAGATTCTCCTCTGATGTTTGGACCTCTGCCATGATATTTCTACTGATGGGGAGCCCATGTCTTCCTGACCATTCTGTCTTGACTAACTTAGCACAGTGCTGTTCTACTAAAAGATTTGAAGCCACAGCCTGAAAGAAGCCACTTTACTCATTTCCTATAGGTTCTTAACAGATTTCCTCTGTCTCAGTGTCCTGATGTCATAGCTGTGTTTTAAAAATGATTGTCTGGACTGATAGTTCTCACCACTAAGGGAATGTTTTCTGGCAAAAATACCTCCCAAATAACTCTGATCAAGTGTTATTAGTAAATGTAGCTTCTACTTTCTTTGTCTTAGAGGTGGTAATATGCAAGTCAATAATATAGTCAGGGTAGTGATGGCTATTCTCATAATGTTGGTACTTATATTTTCACCAACTCTAATTTTTCAGATATTCCTCAAAGTGGCTGAAGAGAGTGGGGTGGATGCTGAGACCTCAGGTAACCCTTTTGAGAGGGATTATACAGTCTGGCTAGAGTCTTGGGCAGGCAAACTTCACTCACCAGTGTTGTACTTTTCTTTTCATATTGTTCTTTTTATTTTTTATTTTGATTTTTTTCCCTTTACATTGTTCTAATACAATCCCATTTTTAGAGTATATGTTTGCTACAGGTAGAGAAGGTTTGTTTTGTTTCAAATAAAGTAAAATGAGGGATTCTTTCCTTTTGCCTTCAGATGGAACCTTGCCAGCAAGACGAAACCGACGGGCCTTTGGAGACAAGCAGAGCTGCCTTCGCCCATTTACTGAAGATGATGCTATTGATCCCAATGATTCTGACATAGACCCAGGTTCGTTTGGGCAAGATCTAGGTTCTATTATTTGAAGAAGAATTTCTCCTTTATGTTCTTCTCAGCTGTTTTTTTTTTTTTTTTTGATGAACAAGATGATAGATTCCCTGGAGGGTCCAGAAGGAAGTGGAAAAATGAGAAAAGCCGCTTGTCTTTTTCCAGCTTTGTGCATGTGTTTAGGTCAAACATGAAAGAGCCCATCCTCATTGTTCCTTCAGTTAGCTGAGATCTTAAGATGCACATATTAAAAAAGGACTGCTCTTTTATTGTCTTTTCTGTAGGGTTCAAGTTTCTTGCATACATTAAGTGTTTTAGTTGTTGAATAAGTATTTATTGAATGGATGAATGATTTTGAGAAAGTCAGGGAGGGTAATTTGCTTTCAGTTAATGTGCCCTTAGATGTAGGTATTTTGGATGACTGTGTCCTTGTGTGTTTGAAATGAAAAGGAGAGGTAAGAAATCAAAAAAATTTGATGTCAGAGTGTCTCTGTTAGGAATCATTAATTTCAGACAAGAATTTCTACATGATTTTTATGAACAGAGAATTTTCTCACTGTCCCAGTCCATGGTCACATGAGCATGTGGCTCTTGTGTTCTCCCTGACTTCATGCATTGTTAGTACTTAGATCATTTCAAATGTGTCCATTTTTTACCAAAAATATAAAAGATTAGAGACTGCCATTGTGTGTTCTCAAGTGTGTTCATCTGCATACATGGCCTGTTCCATAGAATAATCTGTAAGAAATCAGCAGTGTCTCCACTCATCTGAATGATGGGTAACATCATATCATCAATGATGATAACACCCAGGTAGGAATGTGTGAACATCTCTGCAGTAGTCTCAAGGCACCTTCATTCTCTGTACTCACCAGACGAGGACTGAAAGACAGAAATTGCTCCTATTGGACATGTTGAGTCATTAGTTTTTCTTGAATATAGAGGTGTCATGAAAACCCTTTACCTCTGTGAGATACTTTCAGTTTCAAACACAAGCCTCCAAATGGTTTCTGAAGATCTTAGAAGAAGGAATACATCAGGTCAAAAACACCTAACATAATAGGTGACCTTCAGTGTTGGCTTCTTGCAGAATCCAGGGAGACAGACCTGCTCAGCGGGATGGATGGTAAAGGCTCCTATCAGGTGAAGGGCTGGAAACTCACACAGCAACAGTTTGTGGCTCTTTTGTGGAAGAGGCTGCTGATCGCCAGACGGAGTAGAAAAGGATTCTTCGCTCAGGTGAAATATGCTGGTTTCTGGCTTCATGGGTGGGCTGCACACTCTCTGACCAGTGAAAGCAGAATGCTGCTGCAGTCAAGATATAGATATTGGCGCTAGATTATCTGTATTTCCATCCCAGTTCTATTTCTTACCAGTTGTATGTCTGCCAGCAAATGACTTCTCCAGGCCTCAGTCTCCTCACCTGAAAAATAGAGATAATAATGTGCCTATGACACCATGTTATCCTGAGGATAAACATGAATAAATGCTTAGAATGGAGTCTGATGCTTAGGTTTAGGGGTATGTATGTGTGTATGTGTGTATGTCTTTTATTTTAGAGAACAACATAAAAAGGGTCAGAGTTTAGAAAAACTGTTAGGTAAATTCAGCTATCATAACATCAGTGATGTTATGCTCAGATGCACTTGACATATGCACTTATTAGAAACATGATTTTTCTCTAAGTTGATGTTTAACTCAAATGATAAAAAGATACCCAGAGAGATCAGAATGTAACCGGCAAAGAGAAAAGACTTATACTACTGCCTTCAAGTCAGAGTTTGTATGCTCACTTGCTTAGTTAGAAGAGTTAAAATTATTTCACTCTGTAAAAATTAAGAAATGTGGAGAAAAGTTTATAGAGAGTCTTCCTTACAGACTGTATGTATGATACTAAGAGTATGAGTTTGGGACATACAGACCTGGATTTGAAGTCTGGTTGTGTTATTAGCTGGCTTTGTGACCATGAGCAAGTAACTTGACTCTCTGATCTTTAATAACCGAGTTTTTGGATACTGCCAATGATAGTAACACCATAAATAACAACATAGGGTAGTAATGATAATTAAGATAATTATCATTAGAGTACTTTCCAGTAGAATTGCTCACTTAATGATAATTTTCTGCATTGAAGCCCAAGAGCCAGAGTCAATATGAATCTTTAAATTTTTAAAGGATAAGTTTCTCAGCAATAAATGGAAAGACCTTTGAGTTTACTTGTAAAATGTGTATGAGTCATTGTTTTCAAAGTAGGTTTGTAGAAAGTTTGAGGAGTTTCAAGAAGGAGTTGCGTATTGATGCTTTGAGAAGTGATCATGGCAGACAATGGCTGCTATTGCTTGTGATTAGAGTCACTGCTTTTAAGAACTGGTTTCAGGATTATGGGATCTGATCTCTTCTCAGTCCTCAGATTTTAATGAGAATACTGAGGCCCTACAGTGGTGATGTCATGTGGGTACACTTGTAGTAGTGTCATACCCAGGATTCAGGACTTCTGGCTCCTAGTCCAGAGCTTGTTCACTCAGTTTTCTTCTGAGCTGAACTGCGCTCATGGCCAAGTGTGGTCTTTCTCAGTCTTCAGGGGAAGAAATGCAGGACCCAGCATTCTGAGTCACCCTAACATGGGGTTGCTCTTTACTCTGTGAAGTTCCTAGCCTAGTGCTTCTGCCAGGTGACTATAGAGACTCTGGCGTTGTGCTGCCAGATTCTAGAAAGTCCTGGAGGGAAGATGTTTAGTGTTCAGGATCCATTGCTTTCACTCTGCCCACAAGGCCTTGGGCCAGCCATGGGCCCTGTCACCCTTCTTCCTGTGCTGCCTGGTCTGGGAACCTGGCTGGACTTGCAGGGATTTGCTCCTTGGACTTCTTTCTAACCTTATCTTTTCCTGCCATCCCCCTACTCCCTACACTGCTGGGTTACAGATTGTCCTGCCAGCTGTGTTTGTCTGCATTGCCCTGGTGTTCAGCTTGATTGTGCCACCCTTTGGCAAGTACCCTAGCCTGGAACTTCAGCCCTGGATGTACAATGAGCAGTATACGTTTGTCAGGTACGTGTTTGTCTTCTGGGCCCAGGGAAGAGGAGGGTTCAAGTAGATCAAGGGTGATCACTGTGCTGAGCGTCAAAAGAACAGAGTCAAGAATTGCACAGTGGAAGGGGTTTTACCAGCTGTGCCTCAGATCCCTGTGTAAGCTACTACTGCATTCGAAGAACAACAGTGAGCTACCCTTGACTTAGCAGCTAGTCCTCTCTTGGACATTTCACCCCTTCTCCTTATGCTACGAGTGTCAGGACAACCCTGAATATTTTAGATGATATGCCCTTGATAAAATCTAAAATTGTTATAAAATATTTGTATTTTTAGAGTCATGTTTTAATTTTGTTATCTAGTCATAGGGCTTCCATACAATGTCAAAACAGAAGCTTCACATTCTTATTTTCTACATAGTATAATTCATGTAATTATTACCTACTCTTTAAATTTATGGTTTTAGCTAATGTTAATGTTTGGCAAAAATACTTTCTACACCATAGTAATCCTATGCATGAAATAAAAGGACAAAGGAATTTCTGGATATTGTTTGGCAAAGGTTTTCTGGGATTTATAGGTGTCTAGATAGGAGAGATATATAAGTGATATATAGAAGAGGTTTTAAAATGAAAATAACATATACCAAACATATGAATTTGTCTCTTTTTCTCCAAACTATGCTTTCTTCTTAATTCAGGTTTACTTGCCTTTTTCCCTTCCTAGCTGTTGACCTTGTATTGCCTATAGCTATAAAATATGGCATGTGTTTGTGACCTGTGCCTATTATTTTTTGTACTTTCGAGTTGTGCACACAGTCAATAAAATCTGCCTGACCTTCCTGGAAAATACTGGTTATCTGGGCCAAATGGATAATTGTGAAAGTAATTTTGAAATACTGAACCTTAATGAGTCTCATTACTTCAAATTACAATATATATGTAAATGTGTGTATATGTGTGCATAGGTACACACAGGTACACACATCTTCATACATATTCCAGTTTGGGGTACTGTATACTACCCAGATGCTGAATATATGGCCAGAGTCCAAGATCCTCATACCTAGTTTCTGTGTTTTATTCATTTTGCTTTTAAGAGCCTGGAATCCAGGAAGTACTTTAAATAGAGTATTTAATTTAGAAAACTTTCCTTTCTCCCTGTTCCTGGTTTAAATGAATTACTGAGATGGTTGCTTCCCATGTACTCACAGTAATGATGCTCCTGAGGACACTGGTACCCAGCAACTCTTGAATGCCCTCACCAAAGACCCTGGTTTTGGGACCCGGTGTATGGAAGGAAACCCAATCCCGTGAGTGTCACTTTTGCCATAAGCTGTCTTCTCATGCCTGCCATCTGGTTTGATTTCTGATATACTGCACTTATCAATTGCATGCCACATTGTAACCACTATTATTTGTCTTTTGAATCACTTTTTATTTTTAAAAAGTGAATATAATAACCTAATCAGACCCATCTAGGAACATTTAGAGAGACTTCTAACATCCTGCAAAGGAAATCATTGAAGACATTTGTTTACTTCTTTAGAACATTAATATTTAATTTAAATAGCACTTTATACTTACTAAATGCTTTTCTCACTTCTGCCCCCAACTCCTGTATTTTAGTGCAACAATAGGCTGCCATTGTATATAATTTGCAATTTTGCTCATCAGCTTCTTCATCTTAACAACCTGAAAAGATAAAATAGATTTTTCTAAGAGGGGACACTTTCTTGTTCCATTGCATATTTTTTCTTCGGGATAATGCTTCATTCTTTTATTAAACAACTTTCAGTGTAATGAGTGTATATTTGTTATGTACCAAATAATCACAGTTGTTATGTCTTTCCTTGATACTCATATAGTCCCATATTAAGCAAATGGGAACCCTTTCAGGTTAGCTCCTGTGTCCCTTTAAACCAGTGTCAGTACTTGAACATTCAGGAATATTTGACCTTAATGTATTAGGTTTACTTCTTATTTCCTGCCTTAGATCTGGAACCAGATATTTATCCAAGATTTTTAGTGTCTTTTAATAGGAAGCAGTATTTATTTTATTTTAAATTTTGATTTGTTACATATGACAACAGAATGCATTACAATTTATATTACACATATAGAGTACAATTTTTCATATCTCTGGTTGTATACAAAGTAGAGTCACATCCTTCGTGTCTTCTTACATTTACTTAGGGTAATGATGACCATCGCATTCCACCATCTTTCCTACCCCTCTGTTCCCTCCTTTCTCCTCCCTCCCCTTTTCCCCTTTGCCCTATCTATAGAGTTTATTTAATCCTCCCATTGCACCCTGCCCCCCCCCCGCATATTATGAATCAGCATCCTTAAATCAGAGAAATCATTTGGCCTTTGTTTTTTTGGGATTGGCTAATGTCACTTAGCATTATATTCTCCAGCTTCATCCATTTACCTGCAAATGCAATGATTTATTTTCTCTTTTAATGCTGAATGCTGAATAATATTCCATTATGTATATATACCACATTCTATATCTATTCATCTACTGAAGGGCATCTAGATTGGTTCCACAGTTTAGCTATTGTGAATTGTGCTGCTATGAACATTGATGTGGCTGTGTCCTTGTAGTATGCTGTTTTTAAGTACTTTGGGTGGAGACCAAGGAGTGAGAGAGCTGGGCCAAATGGTGATTCCATTCCCAGTTTTCCAAGGATTCTCCATACTGCTTTCCATATTGGCTGCACCAATTTGCAGCCCCACCAGCAATGTATGAGTGTGTCTTTTTCCCCACATCCTTGCCAACACTTACTGTTGTTTGTATTCTTAATAGTTGCCATTCTGACTGGAGTGAGATAAAATCTTAGTTTTGATTTGCATTTCACTAATTGCTAGAGATGTTAAAAATTTTTTCATATATTTGTTGATTTATTGTATATCCTCTTCTGAGAAGTGTCTGTTTGGTTTCTTGGCCCATTTATTGATTGGGTTATTTGGTTTTTTGGTGTTAAGATTTTTGAGTTCTTTATTCTAGAGATTAGTGCTCTATCTGACGTGCGTGTGGTAAGAATTTGTTCCCAATTAATAGGCTCTCTATTTACCTCATTGATTGTTTCTTTTGCTGAAAAGAAACTTTTTAGTTTGAATCTATTCCATTTATAGATTGTTGATATTAGTTCTTGCACTATAGGAGTCTTATTGAGGAAGTTGGGCCCTAATCTGACACGACGGAGATTTGGGCCTACTTTTTCTTCTAATAGATGCAGTGTCTCTTGGTTTAATTCCTAGGTCCTTGATCCACTTTGAGTTTTTTTTTTCTTTTTTTACTACATTTATTTATTTATTTATATGTGGTGCTGAGGATTGAACCCCCAGGGCTTCGCATGCCTTGTGAGTGCTAGGCGAGCGCTCTGCCACTGAGCCACAACCCTACCCCGCCCCCATACACTTTGAGTTTTGTGCATCGTGAGAGATAGAGGTTTAATTTCATTTGTTGCATATGGATTTCCAGTTTTCCCAGCACCACTTGTTGAAGAGGCTATCTTTTCTCTGATGTACATTTTTGGCACCTTTGTCAAATATAACTATAATTATGTGAGTTAGTTTCTGTGTCCTCTATTCTGTATCATTGGTCTACAAGTCTATTTTGGTACCAATACCAAGTTCTTTTTATTATTATTGCTCTGTAGTATAGTTTAAGGTCTGGTATAGTGATGCTACCTACCTCACTCTTCCTGCTAAGGGTTGCTTTAGCTATTCTGGGTCTATTATTTTTCCAGATGAATTTCATGACTGCTTTTTCTATTTCTATGAGGAATGTCATTGGGATTTTGATTGCATTAAATATGTATAGTGCTTTTGGTAGTATGGTCATTTTGACAATATTAATTCTGCCTATCCAAGAATAAGGTAGATCTTCCCATCTCTTAAGGTCTTCTCTAATTTCTTTCTTTAGCGTTCTGTAGTTTTCATTGTAGAGGTCTTTCATCTCTTTTGTTAAGTTGATTCCCAAGTATTTTATTTTATTTTTTGGTGCTATTATAAATGGGGTAGTTTTCCTTGTTTCCCTTTCAGAGGATTTGTTAATGATACATAGAAGTTCCTTTGATTTATGGTTGTTGATTTTATATCCTGCTACTTTGCTGAATTCATTTACTAGTTCTAGAAGTCTTCTGGTGGAGCTTTTTGGGTTTCCTAGGTATAGAATCATATCGTCAGCAAATAATCCTAATTTAAGTTCTTCTTTTCCTATATGTATCCCTTTAATTTCTTTCATCTGTCTAATTGCTCTGGCTAGTGTTTCAATCACTATGTTAAATAGACGTGTTGAAAGAGGGCATCCCTGTCTTGTTCCAGTTTTTAGAAGGAATGCTTTCAATTTTTCTCCATTTAGAATGATGTTGGTCTGATAGCTTTTACGATGTTGAGGCATGTTTCTGTTATCCCTAGTTTTTCTAGTGTTTTGAACAAGAAGGCATGCTATATTTTATTGAATGCTTTTTCTGCATCTATTATGCTGCATCTATTATTTCTGCATCTATTATATGATCATATGGCTCTTATCTTTAAGTCTCTTGATGTGATGAACTGCATTTATTGATTTTTGTATGTTGAACCAACCTTGCATCCCTGGGATGAACCCCATTTGATCACGGTGTACTATCTTTTTGATATGTTTTTGTATTCAATTTGCCAGAATTTTACTGAGAATTTTTGCACCTATGTTCATTAGAGATTTTGATCTGAAGTTTTCTTTTTCTGATGTGTCTTTGCCTGGTTTTGGAGTCAGTATGATATTGGCCTCATAGAATGTGTTTGGAAGTGGTCCCTCTTCTTCTATTTCCTGAAAAAAATTGACGAGTATTGGTGTTAGTTCTTCTTTAAAGGTCTTGTAGAACTCGGCTGTATTCATCTGGTCCTGGGCTTTTCTTGGTTGGTAGGCTTCTGATGGCGTTTTCTATTTTTGTCGCTTGAAATTGATCTGATTAAATGTGTCTATCATCCTGATTCAATTTGGTAAAATCATATGACTCTAGAAATTTGTTGATGCCTTCGATATTTTCTATTTTATTGGAGTACAAGTTTTCAAAATAATTTCTAATTATCTTCTGTAATTCTGTAGTGTCATTCATGATATTTCCTTTTTCGTCACGTATGTTAGTAATTTGAGTTTTTTCTCTTCTTCTCTTTGTTGCATGGCTAAGGGTCTGTCAATTTTATTTATGTTTTCAAAGAACCAACTTTTGTTTTGCATTTTTTTCAATTGTTTCTTTTGTTTCAATTTCATTGATTTCAGCTCTGACTTTAATTATTTCCTGTCTTCTATGCTTTTGGAATACCTTTGTTCTTTTTTTTCTAGGACTTTGAGATGTAAAGTCATTTACCTCTTGACTTTTCCTTCTTTTAAGAAATGAACTCCATGCAGTGAACTTTCCTCTTAGAACTGCCTTCATAGTGTCCCAGAGATTTTGATATCTTGTGTCCATGTTCTTATTCATCTCTAAATTTTTTTTAATCTCCTCATTAATGTCTTCTGCAACCCATTTTACCTTCAGTAGCATATTATTTAGTCTCCAGGTTTTGGAGTGGATTTTATTTCTTACATTGATTTCTAATTTCATTCCATTATGATCTGATAGAATGCAGGGTAATATATTTTTTTATATTTGCTAAGGGTTGCTTTGTGGTATAATATATGTTCTATTTTAGAAAAGGATCCATGTGCTGCTGAGAATAAAGTGTATTCTCTTGTTGAAGGATGAAATATTCTATATATGACCTTTAAGTCTAAGTTATTGATTGTGTTTTTGAGTTCTATAGTTTCTTTGTTAAGCTTTTGTTTGAAAGATCTATCCAGTGGTGAAAGAGGTGTGTTAAAGTCACCCAAAATTATTGTGTTGTGGTATATTTGATTCTTGAACTTGAGAAGAGTTTGTTTGATGAATGTAGATACTCCATTGTTTGGAGCACATATATTTATACTGGTTATGTCTTGTTGATGTATGGTTTCCTTGAGCAGTATGTAGTGTCCTTCTGTATCCCTTTTGGTTTACTTTAGCTTGAAGTCTACTTTATTTAATATGAGGATGGAATCCCCTGATTGTTTCTGCATTCCATGTGAGGGGTATGATTTTTCCCAACCTTTCACCTTCAGTCTGTGGATGTTTTTTCCTATGAGATGAGTCTCTTGGAGGCAGCATATTGTTGGGTCTGCTAGTTTATATCTTTTGATCCGTGAGTTTAGGCCATTAACATACAGGGTTATTATTGAGGCATGCTTTGTATTCCCAGCCATTTTTAAATTTTTGGTATTTAACTTGATGTGGTTTCTCCTCGGATGAGTTTTTCCTTTAGTGTAATCCCTCCCTCTGCTGATTTTCATCATTGTTTTTCATTTCCTCTTCATGGAATATTTTGCCAAGGATGTTCTGTAATGTAGGCTTTCTAGTTGTGAATTCTTTTAACTTTTGTTTACCATGGAAGATTTTTATTTCATGAAATAAAACTAAAGGTTAATTTTGAAAAATAAAGTTTAATTTTGCTGTATATAAGATTCTTGGTTGGCATCCATTTTCTTTTAGAGCTTGGTATATGTTGTTCCATGATCTCCTGGCTTTGAGGGTCTAGGTTGAAAAATCTGCTGAGATATGAATTGGTCTCCTTTGTATACATGATCTGATTCTTCTCTCTTGCAGCCTTTAAGATATTCTATCCTT